GTGAGGACGCGGGGGTGGGTGGGTGGGGCAAAGGAAACTTTTCCACTGTTGGTCAGAAAGTAACTAATTGAACCACTACAGAAATCAGTGTGGAGAGTCCTCAAAAACATAAAACAATAAACCCCATTTAATCCAGCTATTCCTCTTTCAACTATCTAAACACGCACCAACTCCACACAAGGGATGTAATCATTGGGCACTTCAAACACATACTAATAAAAAATAAAAGTTGAGAAAAACCAAATTAGTTATCAAAAAAACTTTCTACAGAGAAAAACCTAGGACCAGAATTCAGTATTAAATTCTACCATACTCTGAAACAATTAATCCCAATCCTTGACAAAGTCTTCCAAAAACTAGAGAGTATCCCCAATCCCCTCTATGAAACCAGGATTATACTGACACAAAAAAACCAGACAATGACATCATAAGAAAAACAACAGGCCAACCTCCCTCATGAATATATGCATAACCAAGTTCAGAATGGCATGTAAGGACAGGGTAAGCACATTCTGCCCTTTCTCCCGACCTGGATGAGCTCAGACAAAGCAAAGCCGTGCAGGTGATACTGACCAGAGGGACCCTGAGGTCTGAGAGCCCCGTGGAGAACAGGCAGAATGGCAGGGCTGCTGGTGCCATGGCAGATTGGGTCACGGTGGCCAGGAAGAGAACACATCCTTTCTGTGACTATCTTTCCTTCCCAATCAGCCCACCTAAGAGGGACCCAAGAATCCAGCTTCCTGTCCTTAACTGTCCTTGCTTGTCCTTGTTTGTGACACCTGCTTCTAGGGCCCAGCTTGCCTGCCCAATAAAGGCAAAAGTGGGGACTTCTGGATATCCAGCTGGCAGCCTGCCTGGCACCCCAACAACAGAGCAGTGAAGTGTCTGTAGGCAAATCCTCAGGGCAGTAGAGGAACCCAGCCATTTATTACCACCTCTCACACAGCACTCTGAGTACCTGCTGCTGGACTAGATATGTTCCAGGTGTGTTTGGATTTTGAAATATTTGCATAGACCTTTTGGGTTGAGCATCGCAATGTGGAAATCTGAAATCAGAAATCCTCCAAAAGCTACAGCTTTTGAGTACCACTCAAAATAATATTTGATTTTGAAGCATTTTGGATTTCAGATTTTCCTTCTATGGATGCTCAAGCTGTATTATACTGAAAGATCTTTCTCAGGTTGAGGCAAGTGACTGGCAATCTACCTGCCTTTCCAGCGTCTCGATGCACACACACACAGCTTTGGGCTGTTAGAGAATCAGATGTGTTTGTACTAAAATTCCCTGCCTATGCTGCCTAAATATGAAAGCCACAAAACCGGTGCTTTCTTCAAGGAGACTTGTACTCTTTACACAAATTCCTTTGTAAATAGTTTTTTCAACCACTCACCACCCTTTGCGGGATCATAAAAGCTTTTTCAGTCCACGAAATGCTTACAAAGAACTGCTTCTTAATGCCTGCATTTTCCGGCCTCAGCGTTAAGTCACTGTTCCTGCATGTTAGCAAAATAATCCTCAGGATTCTTCTCCACTTGCTGGCTTTGCAGGTGACCTCGTCCATGCTGATGAGGCAGCTCCTCATTGGTATTCTCCTTCTGAGACAGTGGCCACACAAGGGCTCTCCATCTCCCTGTAAGACCACCAAGCCATCCAGTGTGTCTGATGTGGCTGCGAGCAACAGCTCAGCTGAGAAGGGCCTGCTTCTAGTGAAGGCCCTTGGCACACACAAAATGCCTTCTCTTCAGCACGGAAGTGCCTAGGGCCCAGGCCACATGGCTGCCACCTGGGCTGCAGCCATTCTGCGTACACCCTTCCTGAAAAGGCAGCAATGTGGTGCCATGATTCATGAGGCAGGAGTGGGGGGATAGAAGCTCTGGACTAAAGAGTCAGGGCTCCAGACTGAGGCTTGGCTCTTGGCCCACTCGTCTACAATGGGCCACACCAAGTAAAACAAGGATGGGGAGGAAAAGATGGGGGCAGAGCATGGGTGGGGACGCGTGTCCCTGTGCTGGTGGCTTTACCTGTCCAAATACATACAGCAGCCCGACAGTGCCTCCCGTCTGCCCGCCGAGGACGGAGGAGATCATGGAGTAGACGCCACCACTGCCCACGCCACTGTGCTCCCCGATGCCGATGCCGGACAGCACAGTGACCAGCGCCACGGTGACGACGAAGGACACCAGAAGCATGCCCATGAGCACGCCTGTGTTTCCCTGCAGCAGAACAGCAAGGAGCAGGTTAGGTCAGGGGCAGAGGCACTGACCACCCTCCACCCTGGGCCCGCTGTGCTGCAACTGAGGAGCAGCTAGGACGCCGAGGAAGCACTACAGGAGCTAAGTCTGGGGAAAGTCGACTTCACATCACCCACGGGGTAAAGTCAAAGCTGCTCAGGGTAGCCACAGAATCTCCTAATCTGTCACTCTGTGCCCAAGCACACGGCGGCATGCTCTCTGCCTGCCGTCCTCTTACCCATGCTGTACTCCTGTTCGGACAGCCTTTCCTGCTCACCCCTCTTCCTGGGGCCCCCAGGACCCACAGCGTAGAACTCAGCACCGTACTTTTCCTGCTGAGTCTCTCTCCAAGTCCTGAGCCCCAGGAAAGCAGGAACCTCTCCCTGCCCTTGTGTCGTAGCACAATTTCCACATAGACACAATTTCCACACTGAATGCATGCTCAAAGAATAAACACACACCTTCCTGGAGCGTCCACACACAGACATGTTTTCATGAGTAAAAGCAAGAGTCCCAGAGAAGAAATGGATGTGCCCGCACCGTGCAGAAGGAGATACAGCTCTGAGCCTCCCCAGACAGGGACCAAGGAGACTCCTGGAAGGCAAGACTCCAGTGTGGTGGGTGCCGGAGAGAAACAGAGAGGGCAGAGCCAGCTCAAGAGCTGGGTGGCTTTAAGTGAGTGGAGAGGTGTCTCGAAGTAGGGGCTCTGTGGCCAGCACACATTACGTTGACGGCACCACAGCTGGACTGGGGTGCACAGCGAGGACCGCAGGGCTCAGAGCTAGACAGCCTCCAGTTCTTCTCCCTGTCCCTGTCCCCAGCATTTGCTCTGCCCTAGTTCTAAGCCCTCCTGCTGGTCCACACACATCCTCTTGGGCATATTTGCATCTTCAGTCTTCTATTACCCATGAACCTCACATGAACCGATTTCTGTTTTCTTCACTTGCCCCACAGCAGAGTGAGGAGGAGAAAGGGCCTCCCCCCACTGCCCCTCAGAAGCCACTGGGGGAGAAAATCCCGGGGACAGGCTGCTCATCTGGCTCTGGAGTCACCTGCAGGTGAGGCTTGGCCAACTGCCAAGCTCAGGCGCAGGTGCAGGCCTTGGAAGAGACGCTGCCCTCGGCCAGGTGCGCCTCTCCCCTCCTCCTTGCACGTCTCCTGAGCTTTCTCCCTCTGGCCATTCAGCCACTTATGTTTTAAGTGGAAGTACTGTGGGCAACTTAGCTACCTTAAATAATAAAACTGAATAGAAAACAACCAGAGAAAAAGAGGGGGAAGGGAGAGGGGGAGAGAGAGAGGGAGAGAGAGAGAAAGGGAGGATGGAAGGAAGAAAGACAGGAGGCTAAGGGCTGTGATAAAGTAGCTGTAACCATGCAGCTGTAGGCACTTACCCACACACCTCTTCAACAAAGGGGCCTCTGACCACGTAACCCAGCATGGACACAAAGGTTGAGGAGTGGGCTCCCCGAGAACACTCAAGTCTAGAAAGGCCTGTGCGTCTGAGAGGGGTCGTGCGCTGGATGCAAACTGAGCGTGGGAGCCCTTCCTCACCCCTGACCGCCGAGACTTCCCCTCTCTGTACTCAGCTTCCTAATCAGTAAACTAAAGGTAACGATAATCATCATCTCAGGGGTTTCCAGGAAATACTAAACTTTAGAACTAAATATGTTTGATGCACTTGGATCACCGTCTGTCACATAAGTGCTTGATAAACCTTATTTACCATATTCTTATTTTGCTGTACATCTTATGCTGCTGGCACGATTGCTATTAATTATGACTACGCAGCTTATAAATAGTCCACCAGCCCATCTCCTCCTTAATGGCAAGATTGGGCATAAAGATATCCATAGGCTCCCTCTAGAAAGAGCGCCAACGGTTGTGTGGGAATGTGCACGGAGACCCAGTGACTGCCAGATGGTTCGCGTGGCTGGGGCCTGTCTAGGAGTGGTGGCCACCGCTCTGGTGGGGAGTTGGGAGCAGGAGACAACGGACAGAGCCCAACCAAGGTGCCCATGTGCCTTGCTCACCTCCTCCCATGCCCCAGCCTCAGGCTAGTGAGGATGACATCCGAGCACACGTTACTGATTTTGCTAACTTTCACACTTTTAATGAAATCATACAGTACCATTCCCCCCCTTGTTCTTACTTGCAAATTGTGCATAAAAATAAAATATCCTATAGCCCTAACATCTTCCGTTTTCACACCACAATTGCCATTGTCTACACTATAAGTATGCGTTCAAGTTATTTGCGACAGCTATTTTCTATTTACCAAAAAACTGGCACGATCTCTATTTTAATGTTATGCTATTATTCCCTAGAACCTCTTATTTTTAACATTTTACATTTGCCTTTGTTTCCTTGGTCAAATATGATTTTTCAGGTGAGGCTAACGTCAGAGAGGAAAGAGACCATCTTAGGGCAAGAGGATGTACTTGTGTGCTAGACAGCTAGAGACGACCCCAGTGACACCTGCCTCCCAGCGTTCCTGCCCGGTGCACACCCTTCCCTTGAGTCTGAGCTGTACATAGTGACTATTTTTTAAGTATGTAAATGTCTTATTAGTCATTCCAAATGATCACATTAGTTGCAATTTACTTAATATTTTTTGAAGTGCAAAATTAACCATGTGCACATTTTCATTTTAGGCTGCTTGAGTTATCTATGTAGTGACTCACTTTTAATGAGTAGAAGCCATTAATGCAGAAGTGGTGTGTTACTTCTGAGATGAAGATATTTTGAAATGTGGTAGTTTTCTCCTGGGCCTTTTCCTTCCCCATTCTCTTCAAATGCTTGCCCTGGTGGCAGTCTGTTGCCTGGTAAAGGGACAGCCTACAGAGATGCTCCCATAGGGAGGACCAGGGCTGCCACCAACCAGTCCTGTGAGCATGAAAATCACCCTCTCCCTCCCTGAGCCTTCAGCCCTGGTTGACAGCTTAACTTCAGTCTCATAGGACCCCTGAACCACAAAAACTGTATGAGAAACACTTTTGTGGCTTCATGCTACAAAGTGTTGGGGTAACTGTTATACAATAACAGGTGACTGAGACAACCTGCACCTCCACTTTGGGGAAGAACAGTCGCCTCTAAGCTAAAATAAAGTGAGAAGCCTAAAAGGCTGAGTCAATGGGAAAAACTACTTCCTCTCTTTCTACCATCCCATAGCCATCTCTGTCCCCGAGTTCAGGCAGAGGGGCCTCCCTGGCCCCCAAAAAGGGGAAGAGCAGGGGTGGGCCTCAGAAGCCTGCCAGGATGAGGAACCTGGGCTGGAAACTCTGGGGTCCCTACAGAATCGGAGGGTTTCTGAATAGCATGAATTATCAGAAAAAAATACAAGAAAAAATACACGGACCCTGATCTAAGCTTTCCATGCATTAACAAAGATCTGTCCAGACTCACCCGGCCATAGTAAGGCTGGACACCGGGGTAAGGCGTGGACTGTGGTGAGGTGACAACTGTGGAAGCTCTGGGCTCACCCAGGCTCTCGGGAGGAGCTAAGAGCTCTGCACCTCACACGGGGGAGCCTGGAGTGAACTGCGTGTCGATGTGCTGGACAGTGGTGGCCAGGGCAACTAGCTTTGCTGTAAAGGTGTCTTGGACGTGCCGAGTACCTAAGAAGCTGACTCAAGGATGGTCCCTTCTGTGTGTGGGGGGGGGCTCCCCAGAAGAGCAAAGACTGGGCTTTTCCAGAGGAGGAATTCTACCTCTTGATGGCACACAGAAATTCTCTGATCTATTTTTTATTCTCTCTTTTTTTTCATCAGTCCATGTTGGCCGTGCACAATGATTACACCCATCGTGCAGAATCAGTCCGTGTATGTAACACGTCTTAGTTCTGCTTTCCGTTCCCCGCTCCTCTAACTCCTCCCTGCTCCTTCCATCTTTTGGTCCCCTCTCGTTTACAAAAGCTTTATTTCTATTTTTTTTGTTCAATTCTTTTTCTTCTTCTCTGCTTTCATCTCTTCTTCACCTTCTCATTTGAGAGAGATGTCTCTATTTCCCATCATCTTTTGCTTCACTCTTTATTTACATTTTGGGTCTCTCGTGTGAGAGAAACCACGCAACATTTAAGCTCGTGTGTCTGATTTATTTCACCTACCATTATGGTCTCAAGGTGCAGTCACGTACCTATAAGTGCTTCAGGTGTATCCTTTGCTATAGCGGGACACCACTCCACTGCATACAAATACCACATTTTATTTATCTACTCATTTGTTAATTGGGCATAACTATTATAAATTGTGCTGATATAAACATGGTCAGGCGTGTAATACTGAAATACGATGACTTTAATGCTTTGAGGAAGACACCTAGAAGGGGAACAGCTGAGTCAGATGGAATTTCTATTTTTAGTTTTTGAGGAACCTCCATACTGATTTTCATAATGGCTGTAGTAGGTTACACTCCCACCAACAATGGATCAGGGTTCCTTTACCCCACTGCCTCACCAGCATTTGTTATTACTTGATTTCTTGATGATGGCCATTCTTTCTTAAGATCACATCCTAGTGTTGTTTTAATCTGCATTTCTCTAATGGCCAGTGATGTTGAACATTTTTTCATGTATTCATTGGCCATCTGTGTTTCTTGTTTTGACAGGTGTCTATTCATTTTGGTTGCCCCTGTTTTGATTGGGTCTTTCATTTTGCAACATAGAAATTCTGCCTGTCTTGGCCTCCATACTCACGCTGATGCTATATACCTGATGTACGTATATCTCCTGCAGTGTTGGCTCTACTTCTCTGCAGAATTCTGACTCATAGAGTGCACATCATAAATGGCCCTCTCTTGCTCTCAGCTGTCCAGCCCAACTCATGCTGAGCCTCCTCCAGGAAGCTGCCCTGGACACCTTGGCCTCCACAGCATTCACAGATTATTCTACCCCCAAGGGATTTGATGCAGCTCTGAAACCTCTCCCGAGGTGACTCTGCCCACCGTAGGAGGGGCCAGGGCTTGCATTTCACAACCTCATTGGCATGACTAGTGTTTGGCACACAACAGGCACTCATAGTCTCACTCATGACTGACTTGCCTTTTGGTCTGGGCAGCCAGTGTGATCTCCTGAAGTCCTGTGTGTGAGCAGGCACAGGAGGAAGGGGCTGAGAACCACCCCCTCAGAGCATGCATCTTTGTGGAGGCCCCAGGACCCTTGCACAAGACATAAAGGAGAGAGATCCTTTGCTCCACGTGAAAAGGAATACAAACTGACTCCCAGGACCCTGTGCCAGGGGTCTGGGGTAGGGAATACACACCTCTAATGAAGCACCCCCAGGCACAGTCACACACAGAGTTGGGGAAGCTGAGGTGCTGGTGCAATGCGAGGGCATTTGCTGAGCTGAAGAACATCAGGTGGGCCATGAAGTCTCACATCAGGTGCCCTCCACCAGATGCCTCTGCCCCATCTCCAGTCCTGCCCATGATGAGCCCTGACTTTGTGCATAATTAAAAAGCAGTGCTAGCCATTCACCGTGCCTGCAGGTTTCAGAAACATTCATGCTTCTGGGATCTGGTGCCTGTGCTACAGAATGCCAAGCATGACAGCTCCTCACATCATGGGGCCACTGGCTCATCACTCACCACCAGCCAGCCGGTTCTTAAGAAAAGGACAACCCCAAAAATGTTGATCATGCAGGACGTGAACACACCATCCCAGGTCCCGAACAGCACGGGCTCCCACACGAACAGCTGGATCTTCCACCAGGGCTGGGGCTGGGCCAGGGCCCCCTGCAAACAGAGCACTGTGATGAGCGAGTGGCCCTCAGGAGCACCAGGGAGCGGAGGAGAAGGAGGGGGAGACCGGAGACCAGCTGAGAAAAGCCCCCTGCTATTGTGCCAGGGCAGCCCTGTACACACATGCACACACACACACACACACACACACACACACACACACACACACGAGTCTTGATTGACTACAATAGGATCGCTGCTTTCTCCTAAGATCTGGGATTGCTGTACCCAGATGTGCAGAGAGTAGTTGTTCAACAAGCCCAGTGCTGTCCACTGGCCAGCACAGAATAGCTGGTGTTTCCAAGTGACTGTGGGGCTCAGGCAGAGGTCAGCGCTCTGGACAAGGCCGCTTTGTCCTTAGTCCTCCAACCCTAGCAGTGAGGGCAGCTTCTGCAGTTACCAATCAGCGGGCAGCCTTACTTTATAACTTTTGCTCGTGTGGCCCTTCCGACACCTCTGACATTACTGGGGTTAACGCCGTGTTTCAGATTCCCGCAGCTTAACACACCACTGTAGTTTCTGTTTTCTGATTAAACCCTGAGAGGTGACCCCTATGCTTCCTTCCCCTCCAGCCCCCTAGGATTTTAAAGCATCATTGGGCACAGTCCCATCATTGGTTCCACAGATTTTCGCTCATTTTTCTGAGTTAAAAATAACAAAGGCATTTATAAACACTCAAATGGAAACCTTTTGTTAGACTCAAAGCTTGTGGAAGTATTAGAGCATCCTGGACACAATGGATAACGACTCTTTCTGTGAACTGCCCTCCCACAGTTGGAGTAATTAATCTGAATTAAGGCGCCGGTGGAGTTGTCTAGTACCCTCCATCTGCTGCAGCAGTGCTGAATGATCCTCAGCTGGCAAGGGCAAGCAGAGGGGAAGGCACCCAACAGAGGGTCACTGGCACAGTGAGTCTGAAACTGGGGAGTGGAGTTTCCATAAAGACACTGAGAAGGCAAAGAAAGCAAGAGTGTGGGAAGAACTCTAAGACCGGAAGGTACAGGTGCATGGGGCCACCGTGGCTAAGGACAAAGTGGCACCCACCCTCTGGGACCAAAACTGGGCCAACTGCATTTGCTCCGAACAAGAGGAGAGGATCCTGGCAAACCCTCCTGCTCCCCTCCCGCTCACAGGTCAAAGGAACAGCCAGGGCAACAGTGGTCACTAGAGGCCAGGAAAGGCACCAGTCTGAAGTTAGAGTCCAGAGCATAATGGGGTGACCACATTCACGGTGATTTACTATGTACTTCAGCCTAACTAGAAGAGATGAGTTCAGTTTCTCAACACAGAGAAATGATAAATGTTTGAGGAGACAGAAATGCTCATCATCCTGATATGAGATCATTACACATTGTCTACAGATATTGAATTATTGCACTGTACCCCATAAGAGAAGAAGGGAGGGAAAGAGGGAAGGAAAGAAAGGGCCTCAAGAAATAATCAGGGTCACTGATTAAACCACCAGGGACAGAGGGGCAGTGCACTCCTTGGTGCCCTGTCTGTCCCGACTGCCACGTTCCCCCAAGGAGCTTCTTTGATCTCTGTATGCTACTGTTTGTCTTTCACAAGCTATACATGCGGGACCTCCCGAGAGTCAAAAATCATGGCAACAGTCATTGTGGCTCAGAGCAGACCGCCAACCTCCGCCCGTCTCAAACAAGCGATACCGAGGGGTCCACTCGGGGAGTTCAGGGTTGTTTTCCAGAGTCCAACTCCTACTTCCACTTGTGTTCAGCTTCCTATCAGGGCTCGCAGAGGGGCCATTACCATTAGAAGCAATGATCACAGCAGACACCAGCTATGAAGCCTCTGGGTGTCTTCCTAGTCCTCACTCACAGCAGTCCTGGACATTTAAGGCACTGTTTGGCAGTGGTGTAGAAAAAGAGGCTTGGAGACAGGCAGGGAGAGGTCCCCCGTGAAAGCTAAGGAGACCCCAGGATGTCTGATATCACAGGGCCGGGCTCCATCCCACTGCCCAGAGTGTAAAACGTGCACTCTTTTCTGCATTGCCCTTCCCTAAAGTTGCTTGTCCTTTCCCAGTTTCGAATTCTAACTTTCCAGACTTAACTGAGCATGCAGCTGCCTTACCCACAAAATACTTTTTTTTTCCCCTGCCACTATGAGGGCTGTTTCGCTTACCTCGAAGCACATGGAAAGCCTTCCACTCCCTGGACCTCATTAGGCTACTGCCAGCCCTAAGGGACTTAGCTGCTACAGCAAGTACTCTGGAGGAAGCACTTTGCCCTGAGAATAGAGAGGAACTGGTTTGAAACAGGCTTTTTTCAGGATGTTAGCCGAGCACACCTTCCTTTCACCCTCCAGTGTCAAGAGAACATGACTAAACCCTCTCTGCTAATCAGAGACCAGGCAGGAAGAGCCAGAGTTAGACCCCGCAATGCAACCCCAGTGTTCTTGGAAACAGAAGGACACCACATGAACTCAGGGATGGGAGGGAGGCTCCTGCGTAGATGTCACTAACCCTTGTGCGTCCTTGCTGCTTACGCTATGATGTTCAGCCTTGTGCTGCTGCCTTTAGGAGAGGTCACCACACTGCTCAGTGACTATTGCCCAGGTGGGGTGAGGGGCACCGTATGCCATCAAGCAGACTGGGGAGGTAGCGGAATATCCCACCCCGACGCACACTTTCTCTGTGATTCTCCTGCTTCTTGTCCCCACCTTGTACCTTTATGGCCGGGAAGAAATCCCCTCTAGCCTTAAATCCGCCCCTCAACAAAGTCCCTGGCATGAAAGATGCCAACTCAGTCAACCTCTGTTGCCTGGAGGAGGAGGGAGTACAAGGGCTGGGGTGGGGGTGGGAAAATCAGTTCACTTCCAGGCTATCTCGCTAAGCTCCAGGGGACAGGCCTGGCCCCAGCAGTCAGTAGCGACCTTTAGAACCTAGTTGCCCTCAGAATGGAGCTACAGGCTCACATCATTCCAACATAGCAAGAATCTCATTCAGTGCTCTACACAGATGTACAGGTTGGAGGGGTGGGAAGAGGGTGACAGTACGCCCAGTCCAGGGCTTAGTGGGCACAGGCTCAAGAGGATGAAAAAAAAATGAGGGGCAAATCAGTGGCTTGGAAAGGGCACTGTAGAACCTGTCCAGAGGCCAGGGGCCTCTCTCCCCAGGACTCCCAGCCTTCAGGCCCAGCTCCACCCCCGGGGGGCAGTGACTAGGAGCTGGCCCAGAACCACCGTACTTTGGCTATTGCTGGCTGAGATCTGCATGTCGCAAGCATGAAGGACGAGGAGCCAGGCCCTCGCCCACTGCACTTGGGGGTCAGCAGCAGACACCCGACTCTCAGGGAACCACACCTGGGCAGTGGTGGTTGCTGGCTCTGAGAAAGCTGTCTTCCTCCTGTGGATAGAGGAGCTCCAGGCAGCCGTAGGGCCTGAAAGGCACCAGATTCCTTGTGCCCAGTGAGTGGCCAGCGAGCAGGGCTGAGTGAGAGACCAAAAGGGCCTTGCCGGAGCTCTGAAGGGAGCTCAGGCCCAACAGGAGCCTTTTGCTCTGAAGGACTCCTGCCAGGTCTTACTGAATGCATGGACATGAGAGGTGATACTCTTCCCTCTCTGGCAGTGTGAGGAGGAGGGAGGTGAGACGTTCCACTCTGCCCACTCAGGTCAGGGGTGGGTCACAGTGAGACACAGCCTGCCCCTCCTTCCCTCCTCAAAGTGCACCAGGAGGCTGCTTCTGTCTGGGTCACACTGCACACCTGTGAGCCAGCGCTTGCTTTCTGAAAGTGAGTCGTTTACTCGTTTATTAGACAGCAGAGAATATGCACCTCACTGCCACTGAAGTGTGAGACTGTGCACAGGCTTCCTTCCTCTGCCCTGGCTCTGCACAGGCACCGGACGCCAGGCCACAGTGACCGAGAGTTGGGCATGGGGCCGTCATGACCACGGACCAGACCTCCTGGAGAGCCTGCAGGAGTATTCAGGGCCACACAGCCGCACCAGGGGCTTAGGACCTTCAGATGAGATGCTAACTGAAAGTTTCGCAGAAGCTCGAAGCACTACGAATGATGCTAAATGCGGGTGAGAATCCCTGCAGGAAAGCTGGAGGCAGACAAAAGGAACACCTGACTGTGCGGTTTGCGTCTCCTCAGCCAACTGTCCTTGCTCTGCCTCCCTCAGCCCTGGCAGCTCAGGCATGGGGGGACAGGGCTCTGACGGTAGCAGCAGTCAGGCGGGCACATCCGTGAGTGCACTGCCAGCCTGCAGCATGGATAGGGACCAGTGTGAAGTCGTCTTGGCAGGGCCAGTCTCTTCTGCCACAGAATTAGCCAGAAAGCCCAGGTGTCTACAACCTGCAGTTCCCTGTGCCTGACCTGTTCTCACCGTGCCCCTTCATCCCCATACTCGTCCAAGCCCGCAGCTCTTGGGGCACACACTGGTCACCCAACAGCACAGCCCCAAGAATGGCAGGACCCTGGAAGCTATGAGCGTTGGTGTCAGCATGGAAGCCCTGAAAGTTCCGCCTTGCAGGACCAACAGCGGCAACTTTGCCAAGAGAAGCCATTATTTCTTTTTTCTTTTCTTTTCAGCACTACCGGGGACGGAACCCAAGGCTTTCACACTGAGCTACATCTCCAGCCCTTTTTAATTTTTATTTTAAGACAGGGACTTGCTAAATTACCCAGATAAGACCTGAACTTGAACTCCTCCTGCCTCAGGCTGAGATTATAGGCTGCTGCCACTTCTGCCCTCAACACTCAGGGCCCATAGCCAGGTGCTCGAGACATCGGATGCTGGGCTGGGAGTGATGGTCTCTTGTATAGCCCCATGTATGAGAGCTTTCTCTGCCCTTCCTACCCGCCAACAAAGCAGGGCCTTTCCCGCAGGGCTCACACCCCACACCCTCACACCCCTGGATGCAACATCAGATTGGGCAGTGCGGATCCTGTCAACCTCCCCACGAATAACAGGCAGTTAAAAATCACAAGTAGGAGGCCAGGGATGTAGCTCAGTGGCACCGTGCCTGCCTTGGA